GACCAATGATCAGTCATCATTTCCAATTCAAATGTATCTGATGCTGTGAAGTGTGCTACTTTTTGTCTTTAAAATTATTTTTATTATATTTTTTGGTAAATTTGGTAATACCGGTTTTTGTTTAAGTTTTTTCTTTTGTTTTCTGTTATATTGTTTTTTTTTTAAACTTCGACTTATTGCAGTTTATTCAGTTGAAAAAATACTAAAAGAAAGGTTCGCGAAAAAAAACGAAAGTTATAAGCGAGCATAGCTTACTATTGAAAAGATACAACTAAACATTATGTTGTGGACTTTCAGCAAAAAAATTTCAACTCAAATATTTAAGTTAATCAAAATATAAATATATAATTAGGTTGAAAATGAAATTTTTTTTAACGGTTTTACGTATTTATCTGTTTATTAGTGTGTTAAAAATATTCAAGCATAGGAATTTATTGATTTATGATGAATTAAAAATTAGACTAATATAATTTTTTTTAATTTTTATATCTTTATAATTATTGCAACTTAATTATGAAATAAATGTTAAAAAAAAACAATAGTCATTATTTTATTTGACAGCGTTTAGTACTCCGTCATTGTAATCTTTTAGGTCTGGATAATTTATCTTGAATTATTTTCATTAAGATTTCTGATAACAAATAGTTGACACCATCAGTCTAACTCAACATTTGAATTATATATAAAATCTGCAAACTTTATTACTAAACTTATCTCGTAAATGTAATATAGTAAGTGTATATAGAATACTTACTAAAATACTAACAAGACCTGCGGTACTGCACCAATGTTTCAAAGTTAGAGTATTTCAACAAGCAGACTATGCATGAACTCTCATGATAAAGATAAATCTATTAATCACCTTTCATGTGTCTGTCTTGGACTTCAGACGAACCGGCTCTTATATCTAGAAGACCGTTCCTTTACATTCCTTTACTTTACTATCAGATCTTATTAATTGAATCTGGGGCACCAAATTGCTTAACAAGGCTACACTAGCACCTATACTAAAAAAAACAGTTAATATAGTTTGCCTCTTTCTGGTAACTCTAAAGGCACTATAATGGGCAATAGTTGTTTCCGAGTGTAGATGTTGTTGTTCGCAACAAAACGCTTTCTTTAAACTTAACTTGAACAAAAGTTACCTAAATCTTCTTATAAGTGAAGGTGTATATATAACTGTACATTGAATTATTTCTGGTTTTTTTTAAATGTTTCACTTAAACAAACCCTTATCACTTAACAATTATTAAGTCATATAAGAAAAATTTTATAAAACTCACCACGCACTCATATAGTCTGCATTCACTAAACAAACAACACCATAAGAGCCAGCTAATAGCACTAAAAAAACGAAAAAATAAAAATGAAATACAATAAGATATAAAATAATTTTAAAAAAAATTTCTATATGAAACGTCTGTAGAAACATTTTTAATACTAAAAAACATTATGCACTTTCATCGCCTATATACCTAACATATTTCACCTGTTGCCCCTATAAAATGAATAAACTGAAAATTCAAAACAAATAGATGTATATACAGCAGTGACGACGCGTGCCCTATCTGGAAGGGTGTGCGGCCCTTCTATAATGTTGTTTTTACATGTACCACTTATATTAAAATATATGAGATCTTTTATTAATAATAACTATATTGTATAAGGCAACAATATATTCGCAATATTATACTAACAATTTATTAACAAAATAATATATTAAACAAATTAAATTAATAATTTATATATATATAAGTTTAATATTATATCAATATGGAAGAAACAAAACTTTTCACATAATTCTCGTAACATCAAACCAAATTTTTTCAAACAAAAGAGTTTGTACTTAGAAACATACATGTTTGTGCAGTGATCAAACAAAATCGAAACCACTTGCAACGTATAAATGTGCGCACAAGTACCCCGCACAATAAGAACAGAAATTCGTGGGTGCTGCTGTTAAAAGGGGAGAGACGAAATGTGATAGAAATGTATGCTGAGATGAGCTGCAAACTTCAACCGCTCATGCAACCACTTTGGCAAATCATCATGTTGGATTCGTATGCATGCAGTTGATATTCGAATAGAACAGAAAATTACTCTCATACAATTCCCACATATAAATCTCTATTTCTGATATTACGAACGGGAGAACACGCACATTATTTTGTTCATATGCAACGTATAAATGTGCGACCACCTTCTTTGAACACAAAGGGGAGAGACGAAATAAAATAGAAATGTTCTGTGAATTGAGCTGCAAATATATGAGCACAACTAACAAGTATAGCAGGTAACAGAAGCAAATTGATTGAGTTTTCATAGACAATTATATTTAATTGTTTTTGCTAAAACTTTAAAAATGTGTATATATGGAAATGTAATAAATAATAATAATTCTTGATGTGAAGATACTTAATAAATTCCTATACCTATGTTATTTGACATTTTGCAAATTATGTTAGGGTGTTCACCGCACACCTCCGCACCTTAGAGCAGTCGTCACTGATATACAGCATGTGTATATGTTACTTTTTGTAATTATAAGTTGTGTACTCTGCAAAATAAATAAATATAGTTCATGTTCAGTAACACATATGTTGCAGTTTAACATTTTTTATTGCTGCATTAAAGCATCCTGCATGCGAGCCCTTGGTAAACATCTTGCAAATGTGCTCATTAAGCACAATTACTTTAACAGCTTTGAGCATAATATTTTTATATGTTAAGCAATATTGTTTTTTGTATTTTTTGTTAAAATATTTTTGCAACAAAAATTAATGTCATTTGGTTGTCATTTACTTGTGTGCTGCCCAACACGTGCGACATATTATCTTAACCACTCAAACTAATTTAAGTTTTTTTACCCTACACCACAATAAACCATATTCCATAAAACTGGTACTACTGGAAACTTCATACTCCTAAGTTCAAATAGGTTCAACTATTGTAAGTGTTGAGTTTCTTCTGCTCTTCTTAAGCGAAGTGAAGACTTGCCATTTTAATACACTACCATCCTCTACTATTCTTTTTAGAAACTTCCTTTAGGGCTTTTCACTTCCGTTCCGCCACAATTGCTAGTCTTCACTTATATCAATGGAGTGACTGGCTTCATGTCGGTTCTTCTTACCTTTAGCATATAATTTATTTATTTAATTGTTTATTTCTGTTACCATTTCTTTAAGGCACTCCATACTAACAATTCACGAATACAATTGTGTTTTTTTAGGGAAACTCTGAGTCATGTTACACTTTATTTAGTTGCGCCAACGTCTTTTATGCAAATGTTAAAAACTATAAAAGTATCTACCAAATTGAGTTTAGTGTGTTTGCTTTACGCAGGTATAAGATACATGAGTATGTTCCTCATTTTATATTGATATCATAAATCAGCCTGAAGTTGAAGTTTTGCAGTACACTAATGTGTTTCAAAATAAAATGTGCGATTAAATTTTTAGGTTAAATAGGGTCAAACTGAAGCGTATATATATTTCAGATACATTTAAGTGTGCTATAGTATTTTGTGTGTAAAGTTAACTACGTATTAGTAATGATATGACTCATGTCAGTGTAATAAAATAAAATAACATGTAATAAAATTTTTCAACAGCTCTTATTTTAATGCCGTGATATTTAGTTCAACTTATATTATTTGCTATAAGAGCATATATATATACTTTATTCCTTTAGTTCATATATAACATTATGCTATAAAAAAATATTTTATAGAAAGGTTTCGAATAGTAAAGAATTGCAAGAACAAAAGTTTTTATTTATTTTTAATAAATTGAATTTTTGGTTGACCATATATATTAGTTGTTTCAAGTATTGCCAAATACGCATCACAAGTGGTCTTGGAATTATTTCTTATATATACTTTACCGTAAATAATTTTTTTAAACTGCAAGTATCAAGGTTTTGAATTAATACTCTGCCAAATTTGAAGTTCAGAGTCATACAAACTCATAAGCCAACTGGCCCAAAAAAACAAATACCTAGGCTTGAACTAATACTCTGTCAAATTTATCCCAAAATCGTACTTGACTGTATATATTTTGTATGTTCGAACTTGGAGTTTTGTTAATTTGTTGTAAAAGTTCATTAACAAAAATATAGTTTATTGTTTATATAGCCTGGAGTGACTATATTCAAATAGTTTTAATATAGTCAATAATGACTATATTAAAATAGTCATAATATAATTAATAGTGTCAATATTATAATAGTCATAATCAAGTCAATAGTGACTATACTGAAATAATCATAATAAAGTCAACAGTGACTATACTAAAATAAGCATAATAAAGTCAATAGTGACTATATTAAAATTGTCATTACCATCACAACTGATGTTAAAATCAAATTTAATAAAAATTTTTTAATTAATATTTCTTAAATGCTTGAAAGTTAAATTCATTGAAGTTGCTGGGTTTTGAATATATAATAAAGTTCGTTTATGATCAGTTCTGAAGCATACACAATCCACCAAAGACTTTCTCTCTCTAACTTTGTTTCTACTTACATTTCAATAGAAAATCAATAAAATATTTATATTTGTACCTAATTTAAGTTTGTTAAACTTAAATTGTTAATGTTTAGAAAATTGATTTTCACACTAAGTTTTCTCAGTAAAGTTTTTTAATAGTATTTTTTTATAGACTTCTCAGTTTTATAGTTCTTTCACCGTAGATTCAAAAAAAAAAAGAATATGATCATTGTTTCAAGAAACAAATGTAATTATCTTTTTTAAAGTTTTATTTAAAAACACAGTTTCATTTTATTTTTAACAAAATTTGTATATTACATGAGTTAATATCTTATAATAAAATAGTGCAAGTTCCATTAAAAAATAACAACCACAATGATATATTATGACATTTAGCAAACACTAATAAATAGTATTGACTTATCAATCAAAAATTACTACAAAATCAACACTTCGTAAATCTCTTGATAGGCAATAAAAATTTATTTTAACACTAAAAAATTTTAATTTTTAGCACAAGTTGGTATAATAAACTTCGCCCAATTATGTCATTAGCTTAATTAAATTGAAAATAATTAAACGACAAATAATTTTGCCAAAATGATTAAATTTCGTTATAAGCGTAAAGATCCCACAAATGTGGTTCCTGCCACAACTACAGAAACAACAAATACAACAGCTAATACTGCTACAGCCACAACGAAACTAAAAACCAAATCAAATACCTTGCCGACAACGACGATAGCAACAACAACAACATATCCGAGTAACAACAGGGATTTCAATAGTGCAACCAAAGAAAACTTTAAACCCCTAAACGCAAACATCAATGGTGTTAGCAATTTCTATGCAACATCACCGCCACGTTCTCAAACCTCCACACCCATAAATATTATTAGCTCGGCGCCACAGAAACTCCAACATCCGCAACTTTGTCAATTGATAAGCAATAATGGCACTTTGCCACGCAGCAGCCCAAAGAAAACCATTGAAGCATACGATGGTCACAACAAATCGGCCACATTGACACGCCAATCAAACAGTAGCCGCAAAGTGAGTGCACTGGCCAAAGTAGCCTCCACGGCTGAGTTGGTTGGCATAGGCTATACCAACATCAACACAATGGCAGTTGGTAATGGTTTGCCTGCGGAAGTGTTAGCGGAACGTGATAGATGTATCAGTGCTGTGATTGTGAGTTTGTAGTTTATAAGTTAAAAAACATAATCATTTGCAATGCATTTACCATAAGAAGTTAATCAGTACAATTAGATCTATATTGAATAGAGTAAATAGTATTTAATAGCAGTTAAATATAATTTTCTTTGTATTTCCGCTAAAACTAATTTATTTCCTTTCCTTTTATTCTATTTAGGAACTTTTTCAACAATTGCAAACTAGTTCAGAGCCTGCGTTGTGCCCTGAACCTTTGCGACGCGCCTTGGCAAGTGGTCCATTAGCTGGTCGACGTTTTCCCTTAGGATGCTTGGGTGATGCAGCTGAATGCTTTGAGCTATTACTACATCGCGTCCATTCACACATTTCCGATAGCGATGGCGATGCTTGTGAGTCCCAAGCCTGCATTGCTCACAGACGCTTTGCTATGCGCGTTATTGAGCAAAGCGTTTGCAAATGTGGTGCCAATTCTGAGCAACTGCCATTTACACAGGTCAGTAAAACGGAACTGCAATGCATGTACACTACATGTTCTGTTTTTAATTATAGTTAACATTAATGACTTCTACATATATGTCTTTAACATTTATTAAATAATTGCATTGACATCATTACCAATAGTTATTAAAACTTTTAGTGATTGGTAATATATTGCCGATAGCATAAAATACATAAAAGTTAGCGTTACTAGTTGAAACAGAAATAGTTAGCTACTTTGATGCTGAGTTATCGCCGTATTGTAATTCCAAAAGTAAACCTTAATAAAACAGAAAGATTTCTAAACGGGAGGGAATAACAGCAACTAAATTATTATTTTGAATTAATAAAACTTTTCGCTGACCATAAACCTTTTCGAGTATAACAGAATTAAACATTATCTGTAGTCTTTGAAAAGTTAGCGTTACTAGTTGAAACAGAAATAGTTAGCTACTTTGATGCTGAGTTATCGCCGTATTGTAATTCCAAAAGTAAACCTTAATAAAACAGAAAGATTTCTAAACGGGAGGGAATAACAGCAACTAAATTATTATTTTGAATTAATAAAACTTTTCGCTGACCATAAACTTTTTCGAGTATAACAGAATTAAACATTATCTGTAGTCTTTGAAAATATTTTTTGTACTTAATAATTCGCCAATAATTTTTCACGACTGTAATTACTAAAATTTCAACTTATACTTCGACAGATTCGATGTGCTACGCCACGTTTTAGCTAATCATAACCATAAATCATTATATCCATGTAGAATAATAATAACATAATTACACATCATCCAGAAATATGTTTTCTGGACCTTAACTATTCATAAATAATTTTTCAAGACTGCAAGTACTCAGATTTCAACTAATACTTAGATAAAACTAAAGTGCCGAGCCAAGTCTTAGTAAATCAATACCATAAACCATAATACCCATATAGAATTATTCTATTATTTTTGTAGAGACATTATTTAGTACATATATTTAGTACGTTATTTTTAGTACATAATTTTCAGTACATAGTTTTTAGTACATAATTTTTTATAGTTCTTTATTTGAAGACTTGTGAACTTGTGAATAAAACACTCCTGTCTCTGATATATCAATCCAATTTTAAATTCAATATACATGTTGATCCAAACCTTGCCTTGTATTTTACAGCTAAATATAAAATTATTATTATTATTATTTAAATATTCTACATGTGACATTTTTTAGTACTACATTATTTTGAGATATTTTTTGATGAGTTTAGATGAGCACATAGTTGGAAATAGTTCGACAATAATTTTTTTAAACAGTCGGATTATTGAATATTACTTGCGATCCTTTCTGCAATTGCATAAAAAAATATTGTGATGATAAATCTTATGATTTAGTAGTCAAATCACATCACCCGAATATAAAACTATACGTCTAGAAAAAGTTTTTGGCGCTACAAAAGCAAAATAGAACGTACCGGGTTATTCACAGGAATATACTCTGTCTTTCTACATAAAATTATAGTTATTTTTTATACACATACACATTTATTATAAACTGTAAGAACCTACGGTAATAACTGGTATAGTCGTCTGGATGCTGCTTCAATTACGACTAGGTTTGCAAGAATACTTAATAATTTATTTAAAAGTTCCTCAATTAATTTTAATTTTCAAAATAATACAATTAAAAATTAATTAAAAATATTATGTTACAAAAAACAATAATTAAATTTATAAATACAATTTATAAATACAAGTGCATATAGCATTCAACATATACAATAATAATTTCTAACACAATCTCTTAAAAACGAATCTAGTATCAGTTTATAAATGTTATTTTTATTGCATTTAGTATTACTAGATATATCCAGTAAGCAAGTGTATATAACTATCACTTAATCTTAACAAAAGATTCACTTATAACATCTGCAACATAAAAAAAATTTATCTCAGATTTATCGCTCCTCAGCAAAAGCAAATCAATTAACCTTTTAGTGCCCACACAAGTACATTTAGTGTTTTTCTGATCTCGTCTTCATGGTATTTTGCATTAAATCCAGTTCAGAGTATCTGTACACTATAATGCCATTTAAAAGTTGTATCTAATGCGCAATTTTTGGCATTCAATTAACATTAACAGAAGTTAATAAATCACAAGAGATATTTTTTGTTCTGTGAAAATATGCAACGTTTATTTAAAAAACTCTAAAAACATTTAATTGGATTTATTATTTAATTTTTAATTATTTTTTATATTTAATATAAGGTTATTCTATCCGTAAATAATTAAATTGCATTAATGCGTATGTTTGAGACATAGAAATAATGTGGAGTTATAGTAGTCAAAGTTTGGAAGTAGATATGGATATAGCCAAAATTTTGTATAAGTTATATTAATATTTTTTATTTATATTTATATTTTTTTAATATATATTTATACTTATTCAGTCTAATATAGTTATAACACATTTAAGGTTTTTGGTCTTATCAATTTCCATTTTTCAACACAGCACTTCCAAATAACCATATATGTATATACATATCGTATCGTTCATATCATAAACAAATCTGTTTTTTTTCATAATATTTGTTGATTTCATTTAATCAATTTGAACTCATTTTCAAAATTCTTATAAAATCGTCTAAAAAGTGAAATGAAATGTATCGCAATGTAGGTGTAGGCCTTTTTGTATTTTAGAACCGCTAACGTCATTATATCTAAATAGCAGTGCTTAATCAAACCGCGTTAAACGGCTACCAACTGTCAACTCCGCAGAAATTTGATTAATGAAGCATTGGAGAATTATAACGCTAAAGTGAACGCCTTCCATCTGATAATTATAATTCAGTTGGATTAAACTTTTATAGCGATTAAATTATTTTAAATGTATGGCTACCAACTTGAAATGAACGCCAACACCATTTTTGGTTAATTAAACTAAATCAAAACGACATTAATCGCATAGCTAAACACGTGTTTTAATTTTAAATCCAAATTAAAAAAAAAATACTGATTTATTTTTGCAACAGTAAAAAAATATTAGAAATCACTAATACAGTAATAACTTAGGTGGGAGGTTTCCGGTGTTCACACCATATCTTAGACCAATTTTTTTTTTCGGCAATGGTTAGGTTAACTGCTCTAAAACAGACAATCTGTATTGCCTTGTTTTGTCCATAATTGATAGCTTTTAATTGTTTCATTTTTTTTATATTGTATATAAGATTTATTTTTTACTATAGATTTTTTAATATATTAACGGGTTTGGAAGTTTGTGAATGAACCCACACGGCTGTCAATATTAATTAATTTTCAAATATTTTTTATGATTTTTTTTAGATGGTGCATTATGTCTCCGCATCGGCACTGACCTCACAAAATAGTTTGGCTATGCAAAATCATCAGCAATTAACTTTTGGTCAATTATTACGCGCGGCAGGCAATATGGGTGACATCAGAGATTGTCCGGTAAGATAAAAACTATACAGTTTTGGTCTTATGCTCTATATTGATTTTGTTATTTCATTTCCTATTCACCTTTAATAGAGTGCTTGTGGCGCTAAAATTGGTATATGTCGCGCCTTACTTAATCGGCCAGACGTTGTTTCCATTGGCATCGTTTGGGACTCAGAAAGACCAGCAGCAGAGCAAGTACATGCCGTACTTAAAGCAATAGGCACAAATTTACGCCTTTCTGACGTTTTTCATCAAGTGTCAGAACAGCGCTGGGCTCATGGAGTGCAACATGAGCTCGTTGGTATTGTTTCCTACTATGGGAAACATTACACGACTTTCTTCTTTCATACTAAGCTCAAAGTTTGGGTTTATTTCGATGATGCCAACGTAAAAGAGGTATGTTTTATGAGTTTCCTTTATACAACCTTAATGGTTTTACAAAATCTTTATTCATATTAGGTTGGTCCAAACTGGGAAGGAGTAGTTGACAAATGCAGTCGTGGTCGTTATCAACCGTTGTTGCTTTTGTATGCTGTTCCTCAACCAGCAACGGCGCCACAAATAGCTCAACAATACTTACAGGAGTTGAGTGCACAATCCACAGTTGTACGTCGTGCAATTACACCAAGTCCGGAAAAGCCCAATATGGGTAACACACGTCGTGCTATTACGCCTACACCATTACGTTCGCCCAATGACTATCAGAACCTAAGTGTTATACAAAAGAATATATTTTCTACCGCACAGAATAAAGGCAATGATGAGACTGACGCTTACATAAGTCGTAAAACTGTTGAACATGTATTGCATGCACAATACCAGAATCTCAACGTCATACAGGACAAAATTTTTGCTAATGGTACAGCCATTGATGAGAAAGATGGCGCTTATCTTAATCGCAAGCCCATTGAAAATGTACTTAACGCACAGCTCGCACGTAAGCAGCATTTGCAATTACAGCGCAGCCACAGTGCTGAATCGGGACATATAAGCGGTTCCTCAAATGGTTCATCACCACCAAGTGATGGTCTTACCATGCCAGATCATCTTAATCAGCCACGTCGTCGTGATTCTGGTAATTGGTCCGGTGATCGCAACAGTGCCAGCTCTGCTTCATCGACTACTTTGGATAATCCCTATTTATATATGGTAGGCAAACGTGGTCCACCTGCTGTACCACCAAGTCCAACACGTAATGGTCTACCATATGATCCGGGTTATGATTCATTTTCATTGAGCTCCACTGATTCATATCCACCTAAACATCCACTCAATCCACAATTGGCAAAAATACCAGAAACCACCTCAGTTGTGCTTTCCGGCGATTGTGAAAAGTTGTGTCATGAAGCCGATCAACTGCTCGAGAAATCACGTATAGTTGAAGAATCACATGATCTTGAAACTGCTTTAGTTCTCTGCAATGCCGCAGCTGGACGTGCACGTGCAGCAATGGATGCACCATATAGCAATCCCCACACTATGACTTTTGCGCGCATGAAACACAACACTTGCGTTATGCGAGCACGTAGTTTGCACCGTCGCATTTTGGTCGAAAAAGGCGCTGATATGGATGTGATGTTGCCTGAAACGAAGCACACACGCGAAGGTAGCAACAGCAGCGTTAAACACGTTCGTCAAAATAGTAAAGATAAAACTTTGGATAAACCTACTCCAATGGCGGTACCAGTCACAAATAACAATAAAAGCATTGAGATCTATGCCACATTGCCGAAGAAGAAAAGTCCTCTTAAAACGCTAGCTACATCAATTGGAAATGATGAGAACGCCATTGAGTACGAAAGTTCGCAGCCTATCAAACAAGAACGTGAAGGACGATCTCTATTTGGACGCAGTAATAAGCAAGAAAAGGATAAGCGCAGTCGCAGCGAGGACCGTAATAAACTGACGCGTGAGTTCTCATTAACTGAAACATTGTTGGTCAATGCA